AAAGAGTGGTATGAATTCATGGTGCAAAGTCTTCAACAATGCTGTGAATTAAAAATATTGCTGTTCCCTGCTGTACATTCTCAGTCTTACTTCCCCCTATTTGTGCTGGCAGAGCTATTTGTCTTTTTCGTTTTGGTGCAATAAACAGGACTGGGGAATGGATCTAGCTGGAAAAAAAAAAACCCTAAAGAGGAAGACGATTGTTTTAAATTAGCTCGATTCTTTGGGCTGTAGTTCTGCAGCGCCAGCAGTCTCACTGTTCAGTTGAAGAAGTGCAGATAATGGTTTGTGGGTGAAGGGACAATACTCCTGAACAGCTTAAGTAAAACCACAGCCTACGGGACCTCTTGCCTCTGACAGTATGTTTCCCTCCCCCCCTTTTTTTGCTTTCTGCATAGGACCTAGTTTGCATTACATTGCAAAATGAAACAACCTTTATGCTGCGCATTGCTGAATGATGCTAAATACTTTGAGATATCCTGTGTTGGTTTCAAACTCGGCATTAAAAAAAAGTGGATTTTTTCTGTGTCTTATTCTGTATCTGTATAATAAGGATAACACTTGCCTTATCTCACTGACACATTGTGAAGAGAAATTAAATTTCACTAAAAATTTAGCTGTAATTTCTAACAAGCAACGCAAAAAAAATCCAAAAGGAACAGTTACAGATTCTTGGGCAAATTCTTCAGCCTGAGAACTGCTCAGTCTATAAAGAAAATAATCATCTGGTAACTAATAACTTCTAGTTACTATCATAACCCATATGTACCAAGGAAACCACGATTGCCTGAGCAAATTTATTTTCATTCAACCTAGACAAATTTAACATCCCAACCTTTGAGCACTTGACTTTCCAACCTCCGTCCTATTAAACATAAGTTTGTGTTTAATCTGTGGTCAGATACTGGGTTCACCTAGGAAGGTATTTGCTAACAAATCAGATGTAGAGGATTTTCTCCTCAACATATTGTACTCTAGATTCTTCTCCCTCTTTTCAAAAAAAAAAAAAACAAAATCTTTCTTCTCTCTCCTGGTCCTCTGCCATTTGCTCATTGCCATTCTACTCTCCTGCAAGTTCTCATCTCCTCTTTCACATGCAGAGACATGCTTTCTGTCCTCCTCTGCCACAATCACCCCATCTTTCTTCTCTTAACCTCTACTAGTGACAGCAGAGATGAGGATCTGAGAGAGTGCTAACTGCATTCTCTCACTACTAAAAGCTCAGTGAGACATCAGGAATGAAGGAAGAAATTTTGTTTTCCCCTGCAGCAGACAATATTGCTGCAGAGGGGAAAAGGCTGTGTAAGTGTTTTCTTTGCACTCATGGTTTTTTTGCTTTCCAAATAGGCTTTGGAGAGGAAAGTGTGGGTTTCTGCTTGTGGAACTCCTAACCTACCATATAACAGTTATCTGCTACTTAGTCTTCCGAGGATTTGACTCCAGGAGGAAACGCTCTGGTATCACTGCTCCCATGGAAGTCAGCATTAAGTGCTGTCAAAAACATCTCCCTGACTTTCATGGCCCATATCTAGTGTAATAATTAAGATAAAAAGAAGGTCTTCTGTAACAGTTATTAAAAGTTAAATGTATTCTTGATATACTTTTTTAGTATCAAAAAAAATCTTGGAGCAACGTTGACACTAGCATCTTTTAAACAACTGTTATATACTACCTTAAAGCACATTCAGTTGTCCTCCTTCCACATAGGAAGGAGTGGCTACATTTAAAATACTCTTTCTAGCTACTCCAGAACTTTCCAAACTGTTAGCATGCTAAAACAATAGTCTAGGATCTTCTTTAAGGTAAGGGCTTAAAGTAGCCATTTTTGTTCAATCAGATGTTACCAATGCAGCCCTAAGCATCAAAAATACCTAATGACCTACATTTTCAAACACCTATCATTAATATCAAGGGATCTTTCAATGTTGAAAAGCCTGAGCAGACTCAGAACCATCTTCCCTTTTCTTTTCAGGATATAATTTCATTGGACACCACTAGTGAAGCTGTCTTAGGATATCCTCTTGCCCTATTTATAATTCTCCCATAAACATTTGAAGTACATTGGAAAAGCAGCAAGTTGCAGTATTGGAGTGGGAGAAAAAGGAAATAAATTTATTAATCCAGATTTTTTGCTGCTGGTGATATGCCATAAACTATACCCAGAGGCATGCAAGGTGCTTTTCCCAGTCCTGCTCTGTGCTGCGCGCTACATTACTTTCAGGTGGTATTCAAAACAGGGTTGACCTTCATTAATCCTCAGTAGCTTGTCCCTTTGAGTTCCTGTGTTCTCTGCCTTCAGGTTCTTCCTCGTTCTCTGTCTCCCACAGTTAAAGCCTGAAAGGCTTCAAGGAGTGAAGACTACAAACAAGCAGATTTAGAGCCCTCAGTCTAGGTGATTGATTTAAACATGGCGGTAACATGATCCGATCATCTTCGTATCGGATGACAAAACCACGTTAGATTTTCCTCATACTGTGAATTTAGCAATCCTAATATCTGGCTTAGCTAGAGGTATGTATGTGTCAATGCTTTAAGACAAGACGTCCATCTTTACAGATTACTGCAAGGAGACAGACTTACAGCCTAGGCCACATAGGAGGGTTACCAAACAGGTTTATCCCATAGCAGGAACAAAATTGTGTTCAGTTAGCAACGTGCTGTCATCCTAGTCACTCTAGGAGCACAGACTTCACTTAGCCGGTTTGTAGAATTCTCTGATAAACAGCAGTTCTAACAGGGGTATGGGGAGGGGAGAGGAAAGCAAAGAGCAGAACTAGCTCCATAGGTTCTAGCGTATGATCACGGGTAACAGTGCAATTGGAAACAGTACTGGAAAACAACAGCTGAAGCTCTGAGAGCGGTTTATTCTACAACTTTATGTTACTAAAACAGAAGTTGATGCACAGGTGCTGGCAGGGGTTTTGTAAAAATCCTTAGCATGGACAGAATCAGAACTCTTACTTTGAAAGACACATCAAAATGATCAAAGAATCAAGGTCAACTGTAACTTGATACTTGATTACAGCTACAGTCTAAAATTATTTCAGTGGGAATTTTGCCACCCAAACCTGTTCTTATGCTTATGTGAAGCAGTAGTTTGTTTTGCGGATTTCTAGTGGTTCTCATGTGGCTAGCTCCCAGACAACTAGATTATACAGATAAAAAATGTGACAAGTTAAACTGTGGACACCTATTCCTATAATCCCACTTCACACCCATGCAACAATAGGCTAAGGAAGGTATTTAGTCAGAATCAGGAAAATGATTAAAATAAATGCAACCCAATATGAGCTGGTCTTCTCAAATTCTGAACAGATGAATAAAGCTCAAGGCATAAATCCTAAGTAAACCGCAGAGAGATGCCTGGGCATGAAAATCATGAGAAGTGAGTAGCCTCTGCACTGAGTAACAGGAAGTTTAAAGTAAGACAGAGGAGTTCCCGAGTTCCTTTTTTTGGGGAAATGAGCTCTCGGGGGAAGGAAGAATGCTTATACTGCTCTTAAGAGTAGTATTTTACACTCAAGCCTTCTTGAAGCTGCGACAGCTTGCCATCAGTTAGCTTGTCCATATGCTCCTATAACTAACTGTAGCAGGTTGATAGTGATTAAAGCTGTATAAGCAGTGTAAGTTAATAACTTACACAACTGTAGGAGTACACAGGTACAAGAACTTCAGAAATACAAGGATATGATGCATGTAGTGAGACCAACAGAAGAGCAGCTGAATGGTGGACATTCCCTAAAAAAAAAATCATGAGGGTGGAATTTAGACTAGCCCTTCCCCACCCCAGGATAGAAAGCAGGAGGCTGACAGCATCCCTGCGCACGACTCTTCTGGGAGAAAGGCTCATGTACATATGAGCTGTGCCACTGTTGAGCTTCTGTACTTCAGACTGAACCAATGTGCATGTGGTAGCTGCCAGATGATAAATCTAAGTAAAACTAAAAAGAATATGGAACAATAATTTGATCTCTCTTTAACAGATAAACCACTATAACTATTTCTCTAAACTCTCCACAAAAAGTCTATATACAAATTAGTAAGGTAAATGAAATAATCTTACAGAAAAACTTATATTTTTACCACCATTTTTCTTAGATGAATGGGTCCATATGCTCAGTACAACGCATTTAAGGTTGCCCATGAGCCTTCTGATTTATGAATTGCCTAAAACATTTTCATACTGCCTCCATAGGTTAGAAAATGCTCTGATTTTTGTTGCTTTTTCCCCACTTAAAGTTTGACTGTTTGAACTGGCACCATTGCAGCAATCAGTTTACACAGTCAGCCCTGCTTCCGCCTGGGCCCCTTCCCTGCAGAGCCCCCCCACGCACGCCCCCATGGCTCCTCCGCCCACGCAACCTCCCCCCCCGGCCCA